AAAAGCTTGACAACGAAATCATGTTATAATAGCTATTCAGATCTTTAAAATACATGTAATATTAAAATAATTTATACTAACCAATAATTATAAAATTATATGATAAAATTTAATATTAAAATTAAAAACTGGCAATTTTTAAAATTGGAATTCATTCCGTATATACCAATTATATACTTGTGTATATATATATATATATATATATATATATATATATATATATATATGTGTGTGTGTATGTATGTGTGTATATGCATGATTAGCAATGAAATTTTTACCGAATAAAGATTAGGTTGTAATGCATAAATATTATACAAAGTTACAAAAATTTACATAATAGATTTTTTTGTGGATGTGTATTAAAAGTAATACACATATTTATGATGTGTATTTTAAGTAAAACACATATTTATGTCTTTGTTGTTTCCGTTCCTTATATTATGGCCGCTACTGTATGCATGTGTATGTGTCTCTGTATATATATGTGTGTGTGTGTGTGTTTTTGTATATATATATATATATATATATATATATATATATATATATATATATATGTGTGTGTGTGTGTGTGTTATATTTATATTATATATGGCAGAGACTCTAGCTTTAGTGAAATCTTTCCAAAACATTACTTTGTGAAATTCTGCACATAGATGATTTGTCAAAGATCCCCATAGTTTGCTCTGGAGTACATAGTGCCACTCATTTGACCAATCTCATTCTTGATAAGAGTGTTGAGATGGCCATCCTCAAAGAAATGCTGGCTAAGAATGAAATAGAGGAAATCATATGGATTTCCCAGGAACACCAAGTGGCTGATATTCTTACAAAAAGAGGTGTCTCCCCACAAAAAATCATGAGATGCATGGCAGGCCATGAGAGAGAAAAAGAAGGGAGAAATGTTAACTTGTGACTTATCAGGGATTGAACCTCAGACCATAATAAATTGTAAGTTGGTTTAATTTAAATAAGACTGTTTCAGCCAATCAGGGGCAGACTTGGGATTGTAGCAGGCACTACTTAAGACATACACAAATTTGTTCAGTTGTAAAAAGTCATTTACCTGGAGAGGTGCTAACAGTCTAAGCTATTGGATTAACTCTGTGTCAGTGATCATTTCACAAAATTTTGTTTCCACATTTTGAGATTAGAGTTGATCATTTATTTATCTATTTTTGTCAGTCTGGCAAGAAAATTATAGTCATTTTCTCTGCCTTATAAAATGTACAGTTATTGATCTATTATAAGCTTATGCTGTTTTCCATATGTTCTATGATATTTTTGGTGTATTTTGGTTTTTGTTTTTTCCTTTCCACTATATATTTATAAAGGGTTGTGCTCTTCCCAAATTTACTATTGGTAAAGGATGTTTTGTGTCTGTAATTTCTCTTTTTCCTGGGTCCTTCACTTATATGCTTTAGTTATACATAGAAATAAGTTCAACCACAACTTTAATCTAAAGAATGATTACTTACAATGGAAAATTCTTGTGAATGCTGCTAATGAATCTTATCCAAATATACATCTGTGTCCTGGATTTTTTCTAACATCTCCATTCCTGAAAGAATTACCCCTTTCCCAAGCCAAAATACATGACTATAAAAATGTTACAAAATCAAAAGAAAATGGTTAAATTCATAACCTCATGTTATTTGAAATATATAATACACAAATTAATCCCAAAACTAAAATAATTTAAATAATTGCATAAAAAGTCATCAGCATCATCATTTACTCATTTTTGTTTATTAGACATTATGTCACTTAGCATCTACCATAATTTACCTAAACTTTTCAATTAACCTAATGAATATTTATTAGCATCACTTAAATTTAAAAATTTTAAAAACTAACAACATTTTTATTTATTAATTGTTGGAAAATAAAATCCTTACATTTGCTGTGATAAAGTCTGTCTGAGGACAAAGCTTTATTGGCTCCACTTTCATTCACCAAAAACTGCAGTAAGAGAAGTTTGTAATTTAAAAAAAAATGTTTTTTTTTCCTTTCTTGTAATTGCCAGACTTCAATATGTTGTTCCTTATACTTCTGCGGCTCCTTTATTAGTTTTTATTTTCATTCCATTTTTGCTGGTCATGTTTTGCATTATTGTTTTAATTAAAGCTTCAGCTGCATAAGTTTGTTTCGTTGTGTCTGTCTATATTCTCATTAACTTGTGTAATTAGTAGACACTGCATAATCTTTGTTCACTCACAACTTTTTATTATTTTTCGATTTTCATTTCTCAACATGTTATTTTGTTTATCTATTTCATTTGCTTTGTTGTATATTCATTCATTTATTTGGTGGCGTATTGCATTTTATATTTCAGACTGATTACATTTTCATAAGTCTATTCTTTTCTTAGTGTCATCTTACACATTTTTATCACTTAGTTCTGTTTGCACATGTGTGTATGTATGTATATAAATGTATATATATATAGAGAGAGAGTGAGAGAGAGGTAAATGAAATAACTAGATATTAGCAACTGTATATGCACATGCTGGCATGTATACACTGGTAAGCAAATAAATAATTACCAAATTTAGCAAAGAGGTGTAAACATTATACTGCTCGATGTGGTTAGACAGAGCTAAGAAATATATATTAATAAATACACATATACCTATGTTTGGTGTGTGACTTAAATTTTGTTGGTTACACAACTCGTTGGGCACAAGATATAGCTTATTGTTTATTTAAAAATGTATACAGGTGCTCATGGGTTGTATGCTGGTTCATAGTTTAAAATTAAAATATTACAAAAATAGTACTAAAGCAATACTGGTGATTAAGTGCAGGAAATGGGGTGTAGGTATGAGTCAATAATAATAATAATAAAAAGAAGGAATTGAAGCACGTTTAAAATTTAAAATTTGAATGAGGGATGCAGCTCTTAAGATACATTTGACTGGTAAAAGGGAGATAATCAGTGTATGTCCTAAACTGAATATATATTGGGCGTGTGGCCAAGTGGTTAGAACATTTGCTTTCTGACTATGAGAACTGGATTTGAATCTCACCACGATTGATTTTTTAGGAAGTTTTCTTCTTGACATTATCGGTCTGGAGTGGGACAATCCCAGTGTGTGGCACCTTTGTAAAGTGCCTGAAAACCATACCTCGAGTTGACCCAAACCATGTAAGTGAAACTGGGTAGTTGGAAAACTTGGGGGCTGTTAATAGCTGTGCTAGCACAAAGTCACAAGTCATTGAGACCAAGGGTTTGAGTGTGCTGGCATTGTTCAGAAGGTCATCATGCTAGATAACACACTCTCTCCCAGAAATTGTAACTAAGCCCTGGTCAGCATAGTTGCAGTTTAAACCACAGGTTGGCTCTGTGGTTGTTGAACAAACACAAATGTGCCTGAGCGAGCATCTGCAAATGGAATTAGCTAGGTATCCTTGAATACTAGTGGCCAGCTAATATATATAAAATATAAATTGATAACCCATATGGATAAATCCAAAGAAAGCTCAATGTAATAACAGAGCAAATGATAATTATGAAAGCAGAGACATTAGAAACCCATGGTAATATTTTATTTCATAAAACCTGTACTACAGTTTCATCTCAGACCAAATGGTCTCAACAATAAATGGATTCAATAAAATTTTTCTAGGCACAGGCAAAAGACGAAATATTTAAACATAAAATATGCTTTAAACTCAAGATTCAATATGGGGGAAGGGAAAAAAGAGGGAAATAGAAGGGGGAGAAAGAGAAAGCATTGCTTGTAATAATCCAGTGACTTGACTGAAAGTGTTGTGAGTTCACTACCCAGCCACAGCAGAGTTTTTAATCAACCTCTGCTGTGGCCAGGTGAACAAAAACTTGGGGAGTTGTGTTTAAACTGAAACTGAGAAAAGGCAATCTGGAATGGGAACTAACTACCCAATCTAAAGGGTTAGGTTTGAAATTCCAACATATATCACCTGAAGTTGTACAACAGCTGAAACAATGTCTGGACAGTGTAAATAATGTGTGTGTGTGTATATATATATATATATATATATATATATATGCACATGACTGAATAGTTTTTAATCAGAAAATTCATGTTCAAATCTAAATATGTTCAATTTAATTGGGAAGTGTCTTAATGTTATTGAACTGAATAGGCAATACCAGTGTGTATCACCAATGGAAAGTGTGTGAAAAACCTGCCCAAGCTTCTAGCATGAAGTCACTAGTCATCATGGCCAAGGATTGGAGTGTACTGGCCTTGTTTAAACTTTTGATCATGCTAGATTGTGTACTTTGTCGGTAACTAAGGTTCACTCAGTATAGATGTAGTATAAAGGCATTTGCAGAAGGGATTGTCTAGCCACTCAAACAAATGGGTATGCTTGGAAATGAATATTCAAACAATATATGTATGCGATGGGAACATAGTGTAGCAATTATCAGCACTGAAAATAGGATTGTCCATGTTCAAATTCCAGCTGAGGCTATCATTTTAGCTTTTGGACAAAATAACTTTGGAAAAGTATGAATTCACCTTCTCCGTTCCACAGCTAAGGCTTAATAGTGGCAGGGGGGTTGACAGAAGTCTCATGAGAGAAGAACAGTGCTGAATTTAAAACCACTCTGAAGAAGAATATGTTCCATCAGGCGATCTTACCTTAGATGCATCTAATGCTGCTATAGCTGCAGTACATGTGATTTCCTTGTGACTCTAATGGGTTATGCCACTTGTGATTATGAATGCATCCCATTTTCTTATCTGTTCAAATGTAAGGTAATTTATTTAGTGTGTTGCTTCCCTGCGGACTTGAGCGTAGACGTGACCACTCAGCTGCTTGCCCACAGACTTGAATGTAAGTGTGACTACTCTGTTACTTGCCCACAGACTTGAGTGCAGGCGTGAATGCTCTGTTACTTGCCCACAGACTTGAGTGCAGGCGTGACTGCTCCATTACTTGCCCACAGACTTGAGTGCAGGCGTGACTTTCTGTTACTTGCCCACAGATTGAGTGCAGGCGTGACTGCTCCATTACTTGCCCACAGACTTGAGTGCAGGCGTGACTGCTCCGTTATTTGCCCACAGACTTGAGTGCAGGCGTGACTGTCCATTATTTGCCCACAGACTTGATTGCAGGCGTGACTGCTCTGTTACTTGCCCACAGACTTGAGTGCAGGCGTGATCTCCGTTTTGCCCACAGACTTGAGTGCAGGCGTGACTGCTCTGCTTGCCCACAGACTTGAGTGCAGGCGTGACTGCTCCGTTACTTGCCCACAGACTTGAGTGCAGGCGTGACTGCTCTGTTACATTTTGCGCACAGACTTGAGTGCAGGCGTGACTGCTCCATTATTTGCCCACAGACTTGAGTGCAGGCGTGAATGCTCTGTTACTTGCCCACAGACTTGAGTGCAGGCGTGACCGTTGCCCACAGACTTGAGTGCAGGCGTGACTGCCCGTTACTTGGCCACAGACTTGAGTGCAGGCGTGACTGCTCTGTTACTTGCCCACAGACTTGAGTGCAGGCGTAACATTTGCCCACAGACTTGAGTGCAGGCGTGACTGCTCCGTTACTTGCCCACAGACTTGAGTGCAGGCGTGACTGCTCCGTTACTTGCCCACAGACTTGAGTGCAGGCGTGACTGCTCCGTTACTTGCCCACAGACTTGAGTGCAGGCGTGACTGCCCGTTACTTGCCCACAGACTTGATTGCAGGCGTGACTGCTCTGTTACTTGCCCACAGACTTGAGTGCAGGCGTGACTGCTCTATTACTTGCCCACAGACTTGAGTGCAGGCGTGACTGCTCCATTACTTGCCCACAGACTTGAGTGCAGGCGTGACTGCTCTGTTACTTGCCCACAGACTTGAGTGCAGGCGTGACTGCTCCATTACTTGCCCACAGACTTGAGTGCAGGCGTGACTGCCCGTTACTTGCCCACAGACTTGAGTGCAGGCGTGACTGCTCCGTTACTTGCCCACAGACTTGAGTGCAGGCGTGACTGCTCCATTATTTTGCCCACAGACTTGAGTGCAGGCGTGACTGCTCCATTACTTGCCCACAGACTTGAGTGCAGGCGTGAATGCTCTGTTACTTGCCCACAGACTTGAGTGCAGGCGTGACTGCTCCGTTACTTGCCCACAGACTTGAGTGCAGGCGTGACTGCTCCGTTACTTGCCCACAGACTTGAGTGCAGGCGTGACTGCTCCGTTACTTGCCCACAGACTTGAGTGCAGGCGTGACTGCTCCGTTACTTGCCCACAGACTTGAGTGCAGGCGTGACTGCCCGTTACTTGCCCACAGACTTGAGTGCAGGCGTGACTGCTCTGTTACTTGCCCACAGACTTGAGTGCAGGCGTGACTTCTCTGTTACTTGCCCACAGACTTGAGTGCAGGCGTGACTGCTCCATTACTTGCCCACAGACTTGAGTGCAGGCGTGACTGCTCTGTTACTTGCCCACAGACTTGAGTGCAGGCGTGACTGTTCTGTTACTTGCCCACAGACTTGAGTGCAGGCGTGACTGTCCGTTACTTGCCCACAGACTTGAGTGCAGGCGTGACTGCTCCGTTACTTGCCCACAGACTTGAGTGCAGGCGTGACTGCTCCGTTACTTGCCCACAGACTTGAGTGCAGGCGTGACTGCTCCGTTACTTGCCCACAGACTTGAATGCAGGCGTGACTGTCCGTTACTTGGCCACAGACTTGAGTGCAGGCGTGACTGCTCCGTTACTTGGCCACAGACTTGAGTGCAGGCGTGACTGTCCGTTACTTGCCCACAGACTTGAGTGCAGGCGTGACTGCTCCGTTACTTGCCCACAGACTTGAGTGCAGGCGTGACTGCTCCGTTACTTGCCCACAGACTTGAGTGCAGGCGTGAATGCTCTGTTACTTGCCCACAGACTTGAGTGCAGGCGTGACTGTCTGTTACTTGCCCACAGACTTGAGTGCAAGTGTGACTGCTGGGGCTTTGCCCACAGATTTTGTGCATGCTCCGTTACTTGGCCACAGACTTGAGTGCAGGCGTGACTGCTCCGTTACTTGCCCACAGACTTGAGTGCAGGCGTGATCGTCTGTTATTTGCCCACAGACTTGAGTGCAGGCGTGACTGCTCTGTTATTTGCCCACAGACTTGAGTGCAGGCGTGACTTCTCTGTTACTTGCCCACAGACTTGAGTGCAGGCGTGACTGCTCCATTACTTGCCCACAGACTTGAGTGCAGGCGTGACTGCTCTGTTACTTGCCCACAGACTTGAGTGCAGGCGTGACTGCTCCGTTACTTGCCCACAGACTTGAGTGCAGGCGTGACTGCCTGCTACTTGCCTGCCCACAGACTTGAGTGCAGGCGTGACTGTCCGCTATTTTGCCCACAGACTTGAGTGCAGGCGTGACTGCACCGTTACTTGCTCACAGACTTGAGTGCAGGCGTGACTGTCGTTATTTGGCCACAGACTTGAGTGCAGGCGTGACTGCTCCGTTATTTGGCCACAGACTTGAGTGCAGGCGTGACTGTTCACATTTGCCACAGACTTGAGTGCAGGCGTGACTGCCCGTTATTGGCCACAGACTTGAGTGCAGGCGTGACTGCTCCGTTACTTGCCCACAGACTTGAGTGCAGGCATAACCTAACCACTCCACTGCTGGCCTGCAAACTCAAGTGTAGACATGATCATTGCCATGCAAAATACAATATTACCATTTACCATTTCTTAAGGCTTCATTATTATGTAATAAAATTTGTTTAAATTTTAAAATGTTTAATTATATTCACAGCTCCAAAAGATGTCAGTCAGAAGTTGAATTTGTGTCTTTTTAATATGAACAAATAAAGTAGTCATAGGAAATCATTTTTTTTTCCACACTTATATCAAGTTGAAATCTCACCCAGATTTTGTTTTAAATTTATGTGCTTAAATTTTAAATGACCTTTAACTTTATTTTGTTCTTTTTCTTGCCTTTTTACCTTTCATATTTTTCTTTCTTTTTTATTTATTACTAGCAGTAGAGCCCGGCGATGTAACAGTAAGAGATAGATCAAGTATCGACCATCATAAAGACTGAAAAATAAAATTGACAAAGATTATTGTTTAAGGTTGACGGACACGCATGTCTTAATTAGTTTTTTTTTTTTTTTTTTTTTTTTTTACGAATTGGTCAAACCCAAATTCAAACAAAAACATTGTTTACAATCATTATGAGTCTATCGATTGGTGAATAGAATTTTATTATAAACAATTGTCTTGTAAATGGAATTTTTAAAGCATTCTGAATGTAAATAAAGAAAAAAGTGTGCAAGACAATAAGAAATACTACCTGCCGAAAAAAAAAAAGTGGATGTTTGTTTTATCGGCTGAAAAATGTAAGAAATCCGATCCCATATATAAAGGAACACACACACACACATAAACAACCTGGTTTTTAACCTAAGTCACCCACGGAATCGCTAAAAACATAGAGCATAGTCTGATGAAAAAGACGCCAAAGTTTATGAAAACAAAATTTTATCGTCAAAATGCTTTATTTTTTATGAAGAGGATAGACTCAAAATTTTTTTTTAATTATTTTTAAAAATTTTTCCATCTTTTTAGAATATTCTAAATTTTGATTTAAAAACCTTGTTTTTTTGTCGCAACAAGGGGTAGTAAATAACATAGATAATTTTTAGCTTATTTTTTGTATTTACACATTAATTTGGAAAATCTTGCAAAAAATAAAAAATAATTGTCAGATGTTAATGAAACTTTCAGAAACTATTCACAGATGATCAAAATTATTATAAATATTTTTTTTTTTATTAAAGTCATGGCAGAAATTTTTTTTTTTATATTTATTAACACCCCCATAACTAATTTTATGAAAACTCTAGAAATTCGAGACCATCAGTTTTAGTGATTACAATAGTTAAAAGCACAAGGCTTTGAAGAATGCAAATCATGTTTTTTTTTTTTTTTTTTTGGCCAACGTACCTGAAAATCAGCTGTGAATTGTAACATATAAAAACTCAATAAAACAAATATATTATTTAGTTTCAAATGCTTTTATTTGTTTTAATTTGTTTTTATGAATATGGACAATATTTTTTATATTATAAAAATTCTTTCAATGAAAATTGAATTTTTAATACAATTATTTCTTATTTCTTTAATTTTTAAAAGATTTTTAAAAATGTTTAAATTGAATTTTAAAAAAGTATTTTTAACATTAGATAAAAGCAACATCAACCTTTCAAAATGTCCGTGTGAGATTGTCATTGTCTAGCTTTTGAAAATTGTATAATTTGGACCAATCTGATTAGCCATGGTAATTAAGAAATGTAATTTTGTGTTTATAGTCGGACAGTAATTATCAAATAACGGAAGACCAACTAGAATACAATTTAGTTGCATTATTTGAGTTCAGCATTGTTCTCTGCTGTTAAGCCCTTTACTTTTGCAAAACACGTATGGAGAAGTTAATTTGAGTTTTCAATTTCAACTGAGAAGGGTACCTACAAGTAACAGTATCATCTTATGAAAATTTAACTACTGCTAAACTTTAATTTATATGATCTTATTTTTATATTAATCTCAGTTATGACATTTTTCCATAAATGAAATATCAAAATTAATAATAAAATGAATGGAAATACAAATAACACAGTAAAATGTAATAAATATACATAAAATTATTGTATTTTATGTATATTTTCTGATAAAATTTCATAAGAAAGGTACCTAAATTAATTAGATACCTTTTTCTTATGAAATTTAATCTCACTATTAACAGTCTTATTTTTTAATTTCTTTATATTTTCCATAAAAGCATTGTAAACGAAAAAAATGAAAGCTAAGTACAAAAAAAAAAAAAAAAAATTAGAGCGCTTGAAAGTTTTCCTTAAAAGTAACAAGGTAAATAATTTGTTCACTTAAATAATTTTACTTCCTTCCATCCGTAGAAGAATTCTCCTCCCGTAAGTTATCTAAATGTCATATGAATTTTGCCTTTCGTCAATCGTCAAGCGTAATAAAAGGTTATGACCTGCTTTGTTTTATTTTCAAATTACATTTTTCGGGAGCAGAAGCTGTTAAGCTTGATTCAAAATATTTTAAATAAACAGTATAATATCTGTTTTATTAAAATCAGTTTTGAAAAATGATAATTGACTTTTTAAAAGAATATCAAAGTAAGATTTTAATCTTTTTATCAAATCGAAAAAATGATTGAAAATGATTATCTGCCCTTTTTTGACCAAAAAAACAATATTTTTAACGAAAATTTCAGACGTGCTAGGAACGATTAAAAAATGTAAAAAATACCCCCAAAATACTTTTGATCTTTCCTCTTTAATAATAATATGAACATTAGACGATAAAATTTTGTTTTCGTCAAGTTCGCCGTTTTTTTCATCATGCTATGCTCTTTTGTTTACATTTTTGGGTGAGTTCTCCCCTTTCATTCTCACGATGTGTCTTAATCGTGTTTTCAAATTGATTTTATTAAAAAACAACTGTATTTTTCCCATTTTCGGCCCCGTTAGAACCACCACAAGGTAATTTTATGTAGTCCTGTGAAGTTTTGTTGAAATCGGCTAAAAAATGTAGGAAATTCGATCCAACATATAAACATTACAGACACACACACACAACCTGCATTTTATAAGTAAGATCTTTGTATATTTTACTTTTCTTTCTTTCTCTTCCTTTTCCAGTTTTTACCTCTTTCTACCCACTTTTTTCTTTCCATTCTTTTATATTTTTCCTTTTCTTTTTCTATTTATTCTTTTCTTAATCTTTCTCATTTCAATGGTTCTGACCCTTCTCTTTACCCCTACTCCTCTCTGCATACTATTCTTACCCTTCTTTTTTATCACTTGTACTTCCCATCTGTCTCTCTTTTTTTTTTTTTCTCCCTCTCTATCTCATCACTCATTCCTTCTACTTTCATGGACTTGGCTATCAATGGCAAAACCTCCTGAACGAAGATATTGAGATGAATGGATTGAGACAACTTAATTTCATTTGCTTAAGTAAATCAAAGTGGCTTTACCCTACTTCCTTGTGATTTAGCTGTGAAATCCACACCATTGACACTCGTTTTCACAAGAGGCATTATGTGGACAACTACTGCAATTTTACTCTCTCCACTATCTAACTTCATTCTAACATGTAGTCTATTTGCCAGCAGCCTTTGACCCCTGATTAGGAACAGAATTAGAACTGTTTATGACTGGGTGGGAGAGGGAGGTAGAGTGTGTGTGTTAGTTTTCTTTTGGATATTACTGACAAAGAAAAGAAAGAAGACAAAAAATAGCAAAATTCGATGGGTTCATTAGAGTGATTGCCAATGTTTTTCTTTTTTGTTCCTTTTTTACTCACACAATTTATATTCTGTCTCAGGCAACTCTACTTTCACTTTCACTTTATATGATTGCTTTGTTTTCTTTTTAATCTTTAGACTCTGAAGTCTGTTTTATTTTCATCTGTTTTATTGTTTGTTGATAAATATCATTACACCTTCCATAAATATGTGTGGTTATGCATTGATTTAGCAATACTGACATAGACTTTGTTGAACAACTGTTTTTTTTTTCTTAAGTTCATTGGTCAAACTTTATTGAACACTCTCAAGAGCATCCAATTGTCAGCATGTTTCAAAAACCTAATTGATATTGAGTTCATTTTTTCATAGATTTTAGCTTGTACAAAATATGGCCTTTGGTCAAAGTTAACTTTTTAGAAAAAATATTTGCAAAGTCCTTTCCAAATGTAATTATATACGGATTTTAACTTAGTTTTTGACAATTAATATTGTTTTTATTAGTTTTGTATATATAAGTGTCTGTTAAAATTTAAAGGAATTCACTTCAAATACTATTTAAGAAAAAAAATAGTCCATTATTTTGATGGCCAGTTTGAGATGTTTGAGCATGGAAAGCAGAATTAATATACTGAATTATCATTCTGACCTTCTATATTTTGTTTACTTGGAAAAGGCATGAATCCATCTTATGGG